TTCTTTTTGTGGTGTGCTATTTTGCTGAGGAGTTGCTGGGTTGCATGTTGTTTTTCTACTCCCTACTGCCTGTTTTCTAATTTGCCGTATTCCTTGTGACACTGTATTGCTGGTACTGGCCGGCATCTTGGGCGACCTTCCCAGCTCACCACTGGCTCCTCTGGGGAACTTCTGCTGGGTTCACAAGTCTCCAGCAAAGACAGGTCCCTGCTCTGTCTCCTCGGTGAGCCTTCTGCTGGGTTCACACAGTCTCCAGCAAGAAGGGTCCCTGCTGCAAAATGCCAGAGCCGGGGACGCGCTCCCCTGCACGCCCGGTCTGCCCCAGCGGTGGGTGCTGCTCCCCTCTGTGCTGGAACTGCAGGCTAGAAGGTGCCCGGTGTGGGCAAGCCTCCCAGCTTAACCTCTGTCTCCTCGGTGAGCCTTCTGCTGGGTTCACACAGTCTCCAGCAAGAAGGGTCCCTGCTGCAAAATGCCGGTGCCGGCGACGCGCTCCCCTGCACGCCTGGTCTGCCCCAGCGGTGGGTGCTGCTCCCCTCTGGGCTGGAACTGCAGGCTAGAAGGCGCCCAGCATGGGCAAGCCTCCCAGCTTACCTCTGTCTCCTTGGTGAGCCTTCTGCTGGTGCACACAGTCTCCAGCAAGAAAGGTCCCTGCTGCAAAATGGCGATGCGGGAACAAGCTCCCCTGCACGCCCGGTCTGCCCCAGCGGTGGGTGCTGCTCCCCTCTGGGCTGGAACTGCAGGCTAGAAGGTGCCCGGTGTGGGCAAGCCTCCCAGCTTAACCTCTGTCTCCTCGGTGAGCCTTCTGCTGGGTTCACACAGTCTCCAGCAAGAAGGGTCCCTGCTGCAAAATCTTGATATAATCTTTTAAACATAGTCTTCCTCTGGATATTACTTTAAGTGCAAATTTGATCATTTATGTTTGATGTTTTATTCAATTCAAAATTTTTCTAAATTTTCTAAATTTTTACTCCATCTCTAGGTTATTGTGTCAGTGTGTGTCTAATCAGAAAATAAACACCTCAAAATAATCTAAAAACGAGGTTTACTATAAAGAATTATAAAGTTGTGATAAGAAATATCTGTGATGATATAAGAACAAGGTTCTCTAGGACTGAGGCAGCATAGTCCACATAGGACAGGATTAGAGTTCAAACCTGTTCCACGAAAGTAAAATTATAGCCAATTTTATGGTGAAGTTAAGAGTTGCCCAAATCAGAGCTGAACTATAATTTCCAGACAAAGAAGTAAGCCTCAAATGTGCAGGCAAACTCTGGTTTGTAGATAGGTACATAGATGAGTTGGGGTTCCACTGTGGGTGTGAGATCTAATATGCAATGTTCCCGTAGCAGGATTAGAGAAAACAATGTCTGTAACACAGATAAGCCACAGTTGGTAGGCAGACATGCAGAGGGATGTGGAGAAGCTCAAAATCTGTGCGCCTGAATCCTGGGATACATGACCTCCCTGCATGGAGAGATGTAGGAAACAAACCTTGAAGGTACAGTTAAGCCATAGCTGCTGAGCACACTTGGGGACAGAGACCTACAACATATGATTACTATATCAGGAATGCCAGCAAACAGAGCCACTGTGCTATGCCATGGCTTGGAGGATGCAGAGGTACAATATAAGGTGATGGGCTGCTAGGCAGAGCACCACTGGGTTTCCACAGATACCTAAACTGCTAAGCAGATAGGCAGCAGGAGCAAATTAAAAGGAAAATACATATAAAGAAACAAAAGACACACCAGCTAGAATTAGTAAAAGAACCCCCCTTCTTCCTGTAGTGTCTCTCCACTGCAGTGCCTCAGTAAATGTACGGTGCATGGCTGGCTGTGTGTGATTTTATTTGCATTTATCCTTATTGGAATTTGACTAGCTTTTTTAATCTGCAAATTTATTATTTCTAACAAATCTCTGTGTTTACCACTGTTTTGATATAGCTATGATTTTATTGATAAAGTTTGGCTCAGTTTTCAGATACACACTGCTTAAAATAAATTCAAAATTTGATCACCATCTAATGACTTTAACTTATTTATACCTTCATAATTGACATCTTCCCCATTAAAAAAAAAAGTTAGAAATTTTCTTTTCTTTTTTACAAAACTAAACTTCAAAAAAGATTTCTACTGAGATAACATTGGTTAACATCTTTGTTTATAGTTTGGGAGTATAAGATCCCTCCCTTCTGGCGATTTATCATAATGAACCCACCATCAAATTACCCATCATCCACCATGATAGTCCATTGTGCTCCCTCCCCTAGTTATGCTCACCCCTCACCTCTCCTTTTCTCCTTTCAATGCTTCAGATCTATAGTTAGCTTTCAAGAACTAGTTTCTGAGTTTGGCTTTATGTGAACTTTTCTCTGTTTTTTCTATCTTGCACATAAAAGTAACACCATCCAGTATTTGTCTTTCTCTTTGGGCCTTATACCACTTAGCATAATCCCTTCCAACCTTATCCATCTTGTCAAAAATTGCATGATTTTATCTTTTTTGATTGCTGACCTCAATAGACCAATCACAAGCAAGGAAATTGACATAGTAATCAAAACTCTCCCACAAAAAAACAAAAGCCTAGGACCAGATAGCTTTACAAGAGAGTTCTATCAAACCTTCAAAGATGAACTAATACCTATCCTTCTCAAACTTTTCAAAAAATTGAGAAAGAGTAAGTACTCCGAACCACATTTTATGAGGCCAATGTTACTCTAATATCAAACTAAACAAAGACAACACTGAAAAAATAAACAAAAAAACTTTAAATGTGTTTTTCCACCAGACCTGGGAATCTTCCTCATTATTTATTCAAATGTGTTTGCTCTTTCTAGTCTCTTCTTTTTTGTGACTCTAGTTACAGGTATTTTAGATGGTTTGATATTTTCCAGCTTTTCTCTTAATCACTGCAATTTTTGCAGTTTTAAAAATATTCAGTGATATAATACCTATTTATCTGTTTTCAGGTTCACTGACTTTTACATTACTATGATCAGCCATTAAACATATTTTATTCAAGATTTGTTTTCAGTCCCAAAATTTTTATCTGGCTATTATGTATGTTTTGATCTATCTATTGTGTTTTTATCCCTAGTTATGTTTACATCAAGCATAAATATAAATACAATTTTATCTGTTGATTTAAATATTTATCACCCAATTCTATCATCCTAGTTATCCTTGATTTCTTTTTATTCCTAAGTATGGCTCTTATTTTAATACTTACATGTGATAATTTATATTTTTCTCATGAATATTGAGAACAATGCATGTAGGGATTGTGGGTATTATTAGTTTCCTATTTGGCTAAACTCAAAATTTTGTCACCTTTGTAAAAGTAGCAGCTGAAATTTCTGTCCAGTAATTTTAGTCTTATCTTGGATCTTTGAAATAATACCTTAACATACATATTTCAAGAATTAATCAGAGTTTTATACAGAATTTATACATTCAAATTGGGTCTGCCCCTTTTTGACTCTCATTCTCTAAGATTTTCTCTCTTATTTTCACCAGGACAGTTTCATCAATTTCTCTTCACTGAGTCTTAACCAGTAGGACTCCAGGTATCTGTCTGAGTTTTTACTACCCAATAAAGCACTGATTGGAGCCAGTCCTCAAATAAATCTCAGAAATTCAAGTATCTTGACAAGTGTCATTTCCTTTACCCCAATGTAGACTCACATCTAAGTTGTTGCCTTCAGAATCATGTTTAAATGTAAAATTCCGCAGTTCTTCCCATTATTTTAGCAGTTATATTTTATCTGCATCACTCTATTCTGTCCTGTTGCAATTTCTCCCATCATTTATACCCTGAGTTTTATGCAACTAAACAGTTCTACATTCTTAGTGCAAACAATCATTATATAAATTGTGTCCATTTTGTTTTCATCATTTACTATCAAAGATCACCCTGTCATCTTGGTCATCTGTATTTTGTTCCTAAGTGAGTATCCAGGATAAGCTCAAATTACTGTAAACTTGTTCTGATTCATTACGTTTGTGTATAATCTTTATATGTCAATGGCCATGTGTAGTAGATATATGTTCATTGGATCTCACTTTCTTTCACTGAGTATTTAATATATTAACCTATTTTCTTCCAGTATATGTTGTAGATTACTGACCTAAAGGTCTGTGTCCAGTCTGATTTTGTTCCCATCTTAATTAATGTGACTAAGTTACCTGGGCCAATACTGGTTTTAACCGTGTGTGTGTGTGTGTGTGTGTGTGTGTGTGTGTGTGTCTGTGAGAGAGAGAGAGAAAGAGTGAGAGAGAGAATTATTTTTATCTTTCAAAAGATAGTATAAAATAATTTATAAAAATAAATTGCATGGCCAGGGTTCATGTTTTTCATTAAATTTCCAATGATTTTTTTTTTATTTTATTTGAATTTTTATAATTCCTAGAACATGCCTCAGTGTTGATAAATTTAGATTGATTTTCTTCAGCTCTCGATTGGTAGAATAACTTTTTTCTTTTATTTTAAGAAATTTTAAGAAATTTTCTTGACTAACCTCTTTTAATATTTATTCAGTGTCATTACATTCATTACTGTTTTTCTTCTTTGGATACTCTAATTATATATATGCTGGACCTACAGTTCCTATCTTCTATAATATTGTCAAAAACTATGTAGTATTTCTTGGCTTTGTGCTCAATCTTGTTTGATTTTCACTTCTAAATTGATTTTTTATTCATAATTGTTTTCTGAGTTTTGCCAACTGTTCATGTTGACATATCCTCTTCATGCCCTCCTGTTACCTAATTTCTGTAGTTGGTAAGCAGCAGTATCAGGTATCAACTAAAAGGTTTCAGATACAGATCCTGGGAAATTTTCACTTCTATATCTATACCTAAATGTAAGTCCTATGTTAGACACAGAAAATTTTATTCACATATGCAGAAAGTTAAGTTAAAACGTAGCATATGACTAATGCTATGTTCATGCAAATCAGATGTATCACATTTGCTTTCTATGCATTTTTCAATCTTTTATAGCTAAAAATTGAGGCTCCTCCTGGTGAAACAATTGGATATATATATCAATGCTTTCACCCATTTTGGCCAATGTTTAAAATAAAAAATGAGAAAAAGGAGGATGTAATGAAAATCAAAGGGCCATGTGTAATTTCTAGCTGTCTCAAGGATCTAAATTTTAATGTAAGTCATTATATTTTAAAAATATCATGTTCAAATGAATGTTTCACTATTTCCTAATAGATATAAAACTAATAATTTTGACTAAAGGAAAAATAAAAACATATTATCATGATGTTCCAATAACATTTTTAGTTGAATTTCTAATGCTTTACTTACTTGAGTCTTACAACTTCATAGCATCTTTCAAAGATTGTATATGAGATCATATGTATATAATATATTATAATATATCTATTATATAAAATCTATTTTATATTATTATATACATTATATATGTGATATATATAAGAGAGAGGAAAATAATTGACATAAAGCATTATATTGTTTCAGGTGTATAAAATAGTGTTTAAATATTTGTACATATTGCAAAATTATCAGCACAAAAAAATTTGTTAACATTAGTCAACATACATAGTTGCAGATTGTTTTCTTGGGTTAAGAACTTTTTAGATCTACTTTGATTTTATTTTATTTTGTTTTTTAAAGATTTATTTATTTTTTTTAATTTATTTTTTTATTTATACAAGCATTGAGTACAGTCAGAAGCGCGGGAGGGTGAGAGAATTCACCAGAGCCAGAGCAGGGAACAGAACAGGCAGACTAACAAAGTACACTGCTGAGGGGAGCAGCAGGTGCAGCAGGAGAGGTCTGCACACCATGTGGGACCCTCACCAGTGGCCTGGGATCAAACTGGTGCTTCAGAGGCTGCGGGCAGCTTCGCAGCCCAGCACTCAACCACTGTGCGACCAGAGAGGTCCTACTTCAATTTTAAAAGAAAGGAATTAAATAAAGGGGAAGTGTGGTGATAAAGAAGTTGAATATTGATGAAGCCTATCTCTTAATTGGTATAGACCTAAGACACATGTAGGGAACTAGATTCAAGCAGAAATAGAGGTGGGCCATTTATCATAGCAAGGAAGGAACAGGGTGTGTCAATATGGATATAGTAACTCTTCAGGACTGGAGTCTGGAAGCTTAGTCTAGGAGCTTCTATTTTTTTCTACAAAATAATGATGCTTTACTAAGGATGAGGGGGTAATAGCATTATTCAGACTTATGAAAAAACTAGAAAAGTTTTGTCATAGTTACTTAAAATTCTTTCATTTTTCTCTTTACCCAGATTCCTTAACATTATTTACAAAGCTAGGTGTGATCTAACTTTTCATACCTCTCTTTTCTCACTCATTTTCTGCCACTAGCCACCTCAGTCACTGTGTTCAAAATACACCCCCTCCTAAATCAGGGCCTTTTCACATGTTGTTGACTCAGTCTGAAATGTTCTTACAGTCACTATTCCTGTTGTCACTAATTCCTACTGGATCTCCAAGTCTCAGCTTCAATGGTGGTTACCTTGAAGAGGATATCTCTGAAATCATCCCACCCAATACTTTTTGTCTGCCCTTTATTTCTTTTGTATACACCATCATGTAACTCTACTTTTTCCCTTATGACACTCATTACAAGGCAAGTAATAAGATTTATCCCAGACATATTGTTTTATATTTACATGAGTATCTCACATTGAAATATGAATATTACTTTATATGATGTTTCATTGAGTCAAGGTAAGTAAAGCAGAAAAGGAAATTAGGAAAAGTTAAAGGGACTCAGAAAATAAAGATGTCATCTGAAAGTTAACTATGGAAAAGAACATAAAAGTACTCATATATCATATGTGATATATATTATTATAACATATATTACATATAACGTTAGATATAGCTATAGCCACATATTATGTAGCTATTTTAAAACTCTTTAATGTATATGCCCACATATACCTTAATTACTATCTGTATATATTGCATATGTAATCACTGTGTACAAAATTTTAAAATCTCATCTTAGGTAGAAATTCTACATTTTTTTCTGGTCACTTTTTTATTTCAGGGTACAATCAGTCTTACTATAACTCATATGATTCAATTACTAAAATTAACTTTAAAGTGCCTTTTCTTTTTTACTTCAGAGATTTGTATCTATAATTTTATATATATATTTTTTTCCTTTTAGGTGCTGACAATGGATGAAGAAAGAATTATTGGAAACATTTCAAATGCAGATAAATTTGGGATCCAGTTTCCATTTGATCTTGATGTTAAAATAAAAGCATTAATGCTTGGAGCAAGTTTCCTCATTGTGAGTCTAGTTTTATTATATTTAGTTAAAAATGCATTTTCTTAAGTTATCACCTTTGTTAATAATTCTCCTCAAATATTTTTTTGGACTTTTTTGGTCTTATCCTCTTAACCCAAATTAGATCATGGATTCAATATTCACCTTGTAAGGGAAGCAAAAGCTAGAATTCCCTGGAAACATGATCACTGAAGTTGAAAATCTTTCCCTTGATAAAAAGCAAGACTAAGTTACTGAAAATAGGAATAAAATGACTTTCAATATGGCTTATTTCCCACAATTAAATTTATTATAATAACCATCATTCTGTACATTTAATTTTAAATGCAATGTACTATTAATTTGGAAACTATAGATATGCAGAATTTTTTAGAAGTCAAATGTTACTCATTTTTGTAGTTGAAGTATTAAGGGCAAAATTAACATACGCAACTGTCTTTGTTCCCCAAATATAAAATGACAGAAAAGGCAAGGCTGAGTCCTGTCTGGTCTTTTAAGTGGTATTAAATCTTTAGAAGTAAAAATAAACAAGTTAAATAGCAAATTGGAGATAGCTAAAAATAATAGTGAACTGAGAGATGTAGAAAGGAAATATACTTTCTTTGGTTGAGAACACTATATATGATTGGTTATAACACTATATATGGTTTATAACACTATATGTGATTGGTTTATAACACCATATATGGTTTATATATTGTGTTTATAATACTATATATGATTGGATTATAACACTATATATGATTGGTTTATAACACTATATATGATTCAGAGGTAAATGATCACACCTCCTTAAAAGCATGTTACCACATCACACCCACCGCCAAGACATCCATAATTATCTGCCATAAGCTGTTGGGCCCCCTCTATACACTGCTCTCCACTCTCCACCTCCTCCTTTAGTTGTTTCAGTTCTACAGTCAGACTTCTAGGGTTTGTTATTGGTTTGCTTTATTTTGTTTTATTTGTTTCTCTATATTCCACACATAAGTGAAACCATCTAGTCTTTGTCTTTCTCCCTCTGACTTACTTCACTTAGTATTATTCCTCCAGTTTATCCATGTTGTCATAAAAGGAAAAATTCATATTTTTTAACTATAGATCAATAGCATTTCATTGTGTATATATACCAGATCTTCCTAATCCACTCATTTACCCTTGGGGACTTAGGATGTTCTTATAACTTGGCTATTATAAGTAGTACTGCAATGGACATAGGAGTTAATATATCCTTTTATTTATTTATTTTCAAAGCTTTATTTATTTATGCATGTGAGAACTGAGGTACAGGCCAGAGATTTGGGGGGATGAGAGGATTCACCAGAGACAGAGTGGGTAGCAGAACAGGGAGACTGACTGAAATACAATGCTGAGGGAAGCAGCAGGCAAGACAGGAGAGGTCTGCAACACCATGTATGTTGCTCCCCGGCCAACCAGGGATTGAACTTGTGCTGCAGAGGCTGCAGAGTGCTTCATAGTGCAGTGCTTAACCCCTTGCACTGCCAGGGAGGTCTCCACATATCCTTTTGAATTAGTGATTTTTGCATTCATTAGGTATATACCTAAGAGTGGAATTGCTGTACCATATTGTTCATAAGGCAATGTAGAGAGAGAGATGGAAATCCATAGTTCCAGATAGCATACAATAGAGAATAAATAAATGCTGAAAAATTTCTGGAACCAGAAAACATAAATTCAGTGATAAAGAAAGGACAATATATCTCAAGTATTATAATAAACAGCATCTATATAAAGCATAGTGAAGCAGCAGAACATCAAAGAAAATAAGTAACAATAAAGAAAAGGCTGATTACCCACAAGCAATTAGAATGACACCTGACTTCTCAATAGAAATGATGGAAGCCAGAAGACAATAGAATAATAAATTCAAAGTACTTATTTTATTAAAAAAAATCTTAATTCTGAAATTCTGCTCTCTTCAAGACTGTATGTCAAAAATGAGAGTGAATTAAATTTGCATATTAAAAACCCCAGAACTTTGCAATATGCAGATTATTTCTAAAGGATATATTTTCAGGAAGAAAGAATATGATCTCGGAGAAATCATCTAAGGCTCAATAATATTCATGAGTAAATAAAATGCTAAACATATTTGTGAATATAAATATCTTTGAAAAATGCAATATAAATGTCTGATGTGTGATGTTAAAAATAAACAAAACTAAAATATTGGCTAATGAAAATATGAAAGTGATTAAAATTTAAATGTTCTAAATTATTTGTATTGCTTAGAAGAAAAATGTGCATATAAAAATTTCATAACCACTGAAAAAATTTTTAAAAACTACATGAATTTCAAGCTAACAGAAAAAAAAGTGGGATTTAAACACATGCAAGCAAATGAAAAGAAAAAAAATCCATTGGGAAAAAATGAATTAGAATGGAACAAAAAAAGCATAGAGAAAATAGCACAAATTCAGAATTAAAATGTTAGAAATTATCTACCTATTCAACTTAATTAAGAAGTCATGTCAATTAAATATATTCTTTACAGTTTTTCTTTCTTGCAATAACTACAGTAAATGTAAATGGGCACAACTTCAAAGTAAAAGAAAGAAATTGTTAAGGATGAAAGTCAAAGATGGCATCACAGGTGTCCCTTGCTTTGCTAATGGGAGAATATTATCAAATTTAACCCACACCAACACTACACCTAGAAAATCCTGTGACTTGAGATGAAACTGGGACACCTCCTAGACATTAGAGATCAGCATGAACATCACCAGAGGAGACACTGAGGAGATTCACACTTAATTAAGCAAGAGATTGAGGAAGAGAAATCCCTGGAGTTTTTGGTGTGGGGCAGAAGGCTTAATTACAAACCACAACTTTGCTATATAGCTGATAATCTGGGGAAGGGAGAGTTGAACAGTATGGAGGAGCACACTAGTGGAGAAATATTTGTGGAGGAGCTGAGTGCTCCTGATGGGCCAGGTATCAGTGAAAGAAGCAAGGGCCATGTGCTGGGCTGCACTATGTTTCCCCTACCCATCAGGACTAGTACTGATCTTATGAAGCACATTAACCATAAAATAAGCATGGTGTCTGTTACATGTGGAATATAGAAAAACAAAAGAAAGGATTAGACACCACCAAATCAAAAACAAACCCTAGAAGTCTGATTGCAAGTCTGAGACCACCTTTGGATGAGGAGGGCGGGAGAAGAGCAGGGAGGGAGAAGAGCAAACGTAGAAGGGAGCACAGCAGACATGGTAGAGCTCTATGGTGGCTTGGTGGTGGATGCTTTTGATAACAAACATCTGAAGTGGTAGCATCCTATATTTATGACTCACAATATTTTAACCAATATTACCTTAAGGAACAAAAAATAAAAGATTAAAGACATTTTGAAAATGGATTTCTAAAGTTCCTATAGGCTCTTGATAGGAAACACACTGAAAATAAAGACCAAAAATTTGAAAGACAGGAAATATGAATAAAAGTATTCTGGAAAAATACTAACCACCAGCAAGCTAGTAAAGTTAAATTAATATCAAGGTAGAAAATCAGACTTTAAGACAAAATTTTATTGGGGACAGAGATAGATAAAATTACATGAAAATAAAAGCTCTATTCAAAAGAAGGTATAATAATTCTAAGTTGTAAACACTTATTATCCACCTCAAAAGAAAAAGAAAATGTTAGCTAGAAAATAATAAGTTAACATGTAAGCAGGAAATTTACACATACTTTCAATTTTTACTTCACAAATAACTTTACCTTATCAAAGTTATTAGACATTTGAACAGTATTAATAAGCTTGATTTAATGGGTGTGTGTATGTACCAAAAAAGTAGACAATGTACATTATTCTCAAACGCACTTTCACAAAATTTACTCAAATAGTGGGAGTAGAAGCAAGTCTCAACAAGTTTCAAGGAATTGTTACTATTAGGACCATGATGTCTGAGCAACTAACACTAGAAGTTGGTAAAGATTAATATTTCTAAATAGTTTGTACATAAGAAAACTTGCAAGACACTTCAGGATAAAAATGTAATGCATAATGAAAATTTTGAAATACCTCAAATCATGTAATAATAAAATACTGCATATTAAAACTCTTGGGATGAAACTAAATGTATTTAAGAAAAATGTCTGACCATAAATATTTAATGACAAAAAGATGAAAAAGGGGGGCCTCCCTGGAGGCTCAAGGGTAAGTCTCAGCACCATCAAGCTATCTGAAGGCACTGCAACATGATTTTGATTCTCTGCCAGGGAGTTGACCCACATGGTGCAAGCAGACCTCTCTTATCTCACCCTCAACAGTGTATTTCAGTCAGTCCTCCTGTTCTGCTCCCCACTCTGTCTCTGGTGAATCCTCTTACCCTCCACACGTCTGGCCTGCACCCCAGCTCTTTTATGCATAAATAAATAAAAAGAAGAAGCAATGCAAAAAAGGTAATGAGTTAACTGACCACCCATAAAAAGTTAGTTAAAAATCAGAACCCAAAGTAAGAAGATGCTGAATTATTGATCAAATATAAAGAGCTCTCACACCTGATCATGTAGATGGAAAAGAACTCTCAAAGCAAGTAAATCACAAAGTAACACTGCTAAATTAGAATATCTTAAACTTCTACCCTTAAAACAGATACATTATTAAATATTCAAAAGCAAGCAATAAAGAAAACATATGTTACTTTGACTAATTATAATATGTTAATAAAAATTTTATTTTAATGAGAAAACAAAGTTCTCTAGGAAAACTCTTAAAGAGGGAATACAAATAAGCAGTAATAACATGAAAATACTTTTAAAATCATAAAGCAAAAAAGAGAAAAAAGCAGCAAATATTCCTTTTTGTTTATCATAGAATAAGTCTTCACTTTCTAATGACAAACTCTCAATGCTGATGAGTGTATCATGAATCAAGCAGCAGTGATCTACAGGAAAACTATTGGGAAACAATTGGATATATTTATCAAAAGTGTTATTGTTCATATTCTTTTAATATGCATTACTTACTCAAATAAGTTAAGAGCTGTGTAGACAAATATGTATATTCTAGTATACTACAATATATGTTTTAGTTAGCAAGTTTTAATAAACAGGAAAAAATAAAACAGCCTAAAATTTAAATTATAAGTTTTATTTAACATTCAATTTACTTTACAAATATATATTCATTGAACATCTCCTACATTATGAGGTATCTCTAAAATACAATGTAGAATAGTATGGAATACTGCTCAGCAATCAATAAAGAAAAACATGCCATTCACAGCAACTTGTATGGAGCTGAAAGTGATTATTCTCAAGGAAATAAGTCAGTAGGAAAGTATTGGATGATTTCCCTTGGGGGGAATATAGGGAAGCCACACAAGGAATCAGGACAATAAAAAAAGACAACTATAAATTGGACACATTCATCAGGGTAGGGGGAGGGAGCAGGATCAAAATGGGAGGGCAGAGCATAAGGGACTATGGTGATGGTGCATGGGTGTCTTGGTGGTGGGAATTTTATGAGGACAACACCAGAGAGGAGAAATCAAATATTGTACAAAAATGAACAACAATATAAAAATGTATAAACAAAAATGAAAAAAAAATATGATGTGAAAAACTCAAATGTTTCAGAGAACTTTAATGATATGAATACATCATATTCTTATATATCATACAAATGGATATATAGTGAATAAAAGCAGGAAAAAAGCATATTACTAATTGTGTGTGTGTGGAAAAAATTTGAACCAAATTATTAATAGTACATCTGGGGGAAACTGAAAATACAACTTTTTCCTTTTGTATGAATGAAAAAAGTAGAAGGAGAAATGAAATGAGGTGGAATTACTTGCTGTTCTTTAAGGATCTTTATATTCAAATGTATTATTTTGATGTGCATAAGAGTAGTCAGTCATTCTTATGCCTTTAGAACTTGGTTCCTGATAGGTCTGGTCTTGAGAGTTATCTTAATATTTTATCATCATATTATTATAATATAGGACTCAAAACTCATTCTTATGTCTAAGGCCAAGACCGATTCTTACTATTAAACCAATTTAATATATTTTTTTTTTCATTCCAGGACTACATGTATTTTGAACTATGGCCTTGAGAATCAGCCTAAAAGAGTATGTCACAGATTATATTGGCATTCTGTTTTGCCAATCCTCAGCAAAAATTCAACAGCTTTCACTGAGAATATCTAAATAAATTTTTATTTCACAAAAATTATTTGCAGTAGGGCAAAGGGAGTGCTTTGTTGGGTAGCTTGCATAAATTTGATAGTGTGGTGGCACTTGACTTTGTTGTTTAGTTGAGTGAAACATGCACACACATACACACATTGGGGTGTGAGCTGTATTCCCAGAATCAAACAGTTTTGTAGACAAATGTTCTATCAATAGCTTGATAAAAGTGTCTAGAAAAATATTTGTGTGTATACTTTACTAAAATTATTCTGTATAATAAAACAAAATTTAGGAACTTAAAGTGATCATTTTACTTAGCTCAGAATTCTTCTGTGTAGTTCTCCAGATGAAGCAATTAACTCATTCATGCATGCAGTCAGTTAACAGATTGGCTGGGACTATATCTACCCAGATGTCACATTCATATTTCTGACTTTTATTTGTGATTTAGGGGGCAACAGACCACATATCATCCATCATCTAGGAGTTTTTTCCAAGCTTTTTTAAAAATTTATTTATTTGTGCATACAAGAACTGGGGTGTAAACCAGAGATATGGGGGGTGAGAGGATTCACCAGAGAGAATGGGGAACAGAACAGGCAGATCTACTGAAATACCCTGCTAAGGGGAGCAGCGGGGAAGGTTGGAGAGGTCTGCTGTACCATGTGGTTTGCTCCCTGTCTGGCCAGGGATCCAACTTGGGCTGCAATGGCTGGTGATAGCTTGATAGCACTGTCTTTAACCCCTGCACTACCAGGGAGGCCCTGCTCAAGTTTTTATGCATGATAACTCTGTAACAAATCAGAAAGCACAAGTTCAAATGTTCATGCTCACTTCAAGCCTCTGCTTCTATTATATTATACCAATGTCCCAGTGGCCAAAGCAAGTCAATATTCAGGTCCATATTTGAAGAGTAAAGAAAAAATAGTCTAAATTCTTTATTATGGGAGTTGGTGACAAAATACTGTGTTCTATTTTTTTTTTTATTTTATGTCCATCATCCTCCTGTCAAAATCAATTCATACTCCCCATGTAAAATATGTCCATCTCTCTCAGGACTCCCAGAAGTCTCTTCCAGTTATGGGTCTAACACAAGTCAAGTCCATGTCAAAGAGTTTGCATCTTTTTTAATGCAAGCGAAGATATCTGGAAGCAGTTTTGAACTTCATTCAGAGAGTGCAAAACTGAAAAGACACACCCCAAATTCAATAGTGAGCCAAGCTCAAAATAACCATAGTGAACATTGGAATTCTCAAAGTGGTCACAAGTCAATAGCAGCTTTAGAACTGAGAGGAGCACATGTTGCCAGTTCCCCTGACTCTGGGGCAGAGAATATTCTAGAATAGTGACTCTCCAGTCCATTGTTCTCTATATCTCTACCCTCTGGGATTTTGGCTATGCCTTATAGGATACTTTTCTTTCTTTAGATGGAATGACCATGTTTTCAGCTGAGCAGTTTTTTCAGCACTCTTACTGAATACAAAAACTTGAAGAGAGAAGTCTCCATTTTAACTGTCTCAGTCCATTTTAGACTATCTTTGTCTCTTTTATTCTGTGCTGATAAAATCCCTTTTAAACTGCACGGCTTTCTATATATCAGATTTACTCCACTCTATTAGAAATAGCCATATTACTCTTCTTTTCAGGACAAGATTCTCTTTTTCCACTTACTCAAAGCCAGCCCACTTCATCACATGATGACTGGCTTCCATGAGCATATCTTTATACACCAGCAGTTTTCAAGCCTCTGCTTCCTTCAAGTTTCTCCCATAGACCAAGTCAAGTTGCATGGCTAAACCCACACTAAAGGATGTTGAAAGAAATCGCATCCCTTGACACTAGGAGCTATAAAATAGAGTGGATATGGTTTCATAGTACACTTTTTTTAAAAATAGAAGATATTTTGATTTGTGTTTGCTATAGACTGAATGTTTGTATCTACCACCCCAACCCCAATTCATATATGGAAACCTATTCCCTAAGTATTTTATGGGAGGAACTTTGGGAGGTGTTGAGGTCACAGAGCCCTCATGAATGAGATTAGTGCCCTTAAAATAGAGACATCTGAGAGCTCGCTTGTCTTTTCACCATGTGAAGTTCGATGAGAAGATAGCTATCTATGAATCAGGAAGTGAAGCCTCAACAAACACCAAATCTGCTGGCCCCCTGATCTTGGACTTCCCAGCTTTCAAAACTGAGAAATAAATTTCTGTTGTTTATAATCCATTCAACGTATGATATTATGTTATAGCAGCCCAAATTGACTGTTAGATATAAAATAACTTTTAATATGTGTTTTTATTTTTTTAATTCTATCTCACTGTATAATGGTCTGACAGTTTATGATGAGTCTTAGATATGGCTGGTTCTAATGTGAGATAAGATCCAATGAACAGGGCCTCCCCGGTGGCACAGCGGTTGAGCGCTGGGTTGCGAAGCTGCCCGCAGCCTCTGCAGTGCTGGTTCAATCCCCGGTTGCTCCCCGGCCACCGGAGGAGGGTCCCACATGGTGCGCAGACCTCTCCTGCCGCCCACTGCTCCCCTCAGCAGTGTACTTCGGTCCTTCTGCCTGCTCTGTTCCCCGCTCTGGCTCTGGTGAATTCTCTCACCCTCCCGCGCTTCTGACTGTACCCAGTGCTTGTATAAATAAATAAATAAATCTTAAAAAAAAAAAAAAATTGTGTGTCACATGTGAATTTCCATCAAAATTATTTGTCTACAAACACATTCACTTTTGACTCTCTATCCAAGTCTGACTGAGTCAGGGTTTGACACAGTTGGGTCAAGGAACACAGACCCTCTAACCTTTCTATATGAAAATACTATCTATTGAAAGTATTGTTTGGGACATAAAATTAGATTATTTTTTAGCACAGTGCAGTGGTACATACTAAATGCTTAGTATATATTAGTGCAATTAATGCTATATCTTAAATGAGGTTTATTTATTTACCATTAGTTTATAATACCATATAAGTTTGGGGAATATAGCCTTCATCACAAGGTGTATATGTATATATTTCACCACAAATGCCATTATTTTTCTAGCACTTGTCATTCACTCCATCAAATGTAACTCTTCTCCCCATATCCCCAGCCCAATTTCCCTTCCCTTCTGGTAACCACCATTTTTCTCAGTCCAAGAGTTATTTTTGTTTTTTTGTTAGTTCGTTTCTTTTATATTTACTTCACATGAGTAAAACGATTTGTAGTTATCTTTCACTTTCTGAGTTATTTCACTTAGCTTTTAGTCCCATCCATGTTGTTGCAAAAAATCAAGATTTCATCTCAAACAGTTTACTTCTATTCCAGTAAGTACATACACATGTTCTTTACTCAGTCATCCTTTGGTGTACATTTAGGTTGGTGCCATGTCTTAACTATTGTAACTAACGTATAGAGCACCACACTGCAAAGCTGTCCGCAGCCTCTGCAGCTCTGGTTCGATTCCCGGCCGGCCAGGGAGATGCCCACATGGCCGGGCAGATCTCTCCTGCCTCATCCACAGTGTCTTTTGTCCCGACCCGCGGGATTCATAGGCACGAAAAGAGAAGGGCTGAGGATTGAAATGAGGGGCTTGAGACAACTTGACGCTAGCGTTTACTTCTTTATTTTTCCTTTTCCTTTCTTTTACTTTTCCCTGTCTTTCTACCTTCCCTGACCTTCTCTCTGCTCCTCTCGCAATAACCTCTCTCACAATAACCTCTCTCGCAATAACCTCTCGCAATGACCTCTCGACCTTCTCGTGGTTCTCTTCTTATATCCTGGTAGCTCCTCCCATTGTACCTCCCAGTCTCATTTGATTAATAGGAAACACCTGTGGTTTCTCAGCAGGCAAAACGGTAAAGCGAAAACTAATTAATGGCACGTGTGTTGCGCAACACGGCGCATGCTCCAGGCGGCTCCGGACAGTCTTTGGTCTGTCTTCCTGTTCTGCTCCCCACTGTCTCTGGTGAGGTCTCTTGCCCTCCCTTGCTTCTGTCCTGTACCCCAGTTCTTGTATGAATAAATAAATATTTAAAAAATAGTCAGGGCCTGGGCCTCCTCTGGTGGCGCAGCAGTTGAGCGCTGGGCTGCGAAGCTGCCCGCAGCCTCTGCAGTGCCAGTTTGATCCCCGGCCACCAGCGAGGGTCCCACATGGCGCGACAGAACTCTCCTGTCTCACCCACTGCTCCCCTCAGCAGTGTATTTCATTGATCTGCCTGTTCTGTTCCCTGCTCTGGCTCTGGTGAATCTTCTCACCTTTCCATGCTTCTGACTGTACCCAGTGCTTGTATAAATAAATAAATAAATCTTTAAAAAAAAATAGTCAGGGCCTCCCCTGGTGGCGCAGGTGGTTGACCGCAGTGCTGTGAAGCTATCTGCAGCCTCTGCAGTGCTGGTTCCATCCCAGACGGCCATCGAGGGTCCCACATGGCGCGGCAGGACTCTCCTGTCTCATCCGCTGCTTCCCTCAGCAGTGTATTTCAGTCAGTCTGCCTGTTCTGTTCCCTGCTCTGTCTCTGGTAAATCTGCTCAACCTCCCATGCATCTGGCCTGTACCCTGGTTTTTGTATGCATGAATAAATAAATCTTTAAAAAATAAAATAAATTTAAAAATAGTCATATTTATTTTACTATTGATGGTTCTGATGCTCACATACACTGTATTACTGTAAGAAGAAAGCTAAAACTTGTTCACACACAGGTATCTTGTTTGTTTTCCTCCACTTATAGAGATATAAATTTTTTTTAAGAGTTTTGTTTGAAATTGTTAACAGGCAGTCTGGCGCAGGTGGTTGAGTGCAATTGTATTTCCGTCAACCTGCCTGTTCTGCTCCCCGCTCTGTCTCTGGTGAATATTCTCACTCTCCTGCACATCTGGCCTGTATCCCGGTTCTTGTATAAATAAATAAATCAATCTTAAAAAAAAAAGAAATTGTTAACAGGATGTTATAATTGAATAACCTCTGCTTCTGTTTTAATCAAGCTTACAGAAGCTAA